AGATGATGACCTCTCTCAGGAGACATCTGATATTTGAAGTTGGCAGTGTACACTTGCTGCTATGTTGAATTGGTTATAATCTCCTCACAGCCCTTTTCAATTCCTGACATTTTAACACAAACAAGGACGTATATCTGACAAAGACTTGCTGCAGTGTGTGCACATAAACACACCTGCAGCTTTGCAAATACTATTAAGAGTCCCTGAGTCCATGAACATCCCCTGACAAAATGATGAATAGCTTCGCTAGGCCCGTATTAGGCTTGACCTTCACCATCATAACCAATAAAAAAAGATTAGATTAGAGGCCATAGAGTTCTAAAAATAGTTTTACTTGAGGTCAAAAACATCAGAAACACTCTCATTATGCATATCCATTTTGTCTTTATGTCACATGGCACATCACATGCTATAAAAGGCAGAAAAAAGTGCACGATTAGCCCTAAATTTGTGTTGTTTAGGAAAACATATACACACACTAACCTGTGCTGTCCTCACCCTATTGTGACTTTGTAAAACCAGAACATTTCCTTCTGTTTCTGGGCCAGGATTGGCATTATTTTGCCCAAACCCAAGAATGGACATTTTCTAACCTGAAAGATTTTACCAGGTTTGTCCACAACTTTATTCCTCAGTGAAACATATCTGCAACTATGTGGAACCAAAGTTCATGCAGAGATTCATTGTCCACAGGGGATGGACCTGTTTGACTTTAGTGATGCTCTGACAGTAATATTTTGAAATGTAAAGCAACTTAACTTCATGTGACTTAGTAACTACCTAGGTGACAGTCAGAGCACAGGTGGTATTGAACCTCAACAATGAATGCTATGACACCAAAGGGCACCGACAACAAAAACACAATAGAGAGTTTAAATTCCACGCCGTCTGGTAGCAGAGTTGAGTCTTCAGCTGTCCGTGTTGTCCGTACAGCTGTCCATGGCAGTCTTCCACGTTAAAGCACCCAACTTTACAGCATTAAAAAGCACATTTACAGCCTGGATACCTGGATAAAGTACGGGGTCACGTCTGCTTTGACTGGCATGCATCCTAACACGGACAGCTGTATCCTCAACTCTGCTAATTGACAGCGTGGAATTTGCCCTCTCCTTCACGTTTGTGCTGTTGGTGCCTTTCGGTGTATTTTACTAAAGTGCCTTACAAATAGTCGTACTTGCTGTGTGGTTCACTGTATCCAAGAAGTGTTTTTCAGTGTTCGTGGTTGAAATAGTAATATTTTATTAGATTACATAACACTAATTAGTGGGTATTAACTCAGTGGCTAATTTGTTACGTACACCTGTTCAAATGCTTATTAATACTAGTATCTAATCAGCCAATCACATGGCCATAACTTGATGTGATAAGGTTTGTAGGTTATAATTCAAACAGAGCATGGTTGCTAGTGCCAGGTTTTCTTGCACTGCCAACTCTGGGATTTACAGAGAATTTCCAAAAACTCAAAAATATCCAGTGAGCAGCAATCCTCTGGGTGAAAATATGTTGGTGATGCTGGATGTTACAGCAGTGTACTACTGCTCCAAGCACATGGCTAAGGAACATTAAATCAAATACACACCTGTTTCAACCAAAGTAGAAGAACATCCCAGAATGCACAACATGTTGAACCTTGAACTAGATTGACTATAGTGCCAGAGAGACCACAACAGGTGCCATTCCTTTCAAATTGTACAGGTTACGGAAACTATAAATTTCCACGGGGTTACCAAAAATCGAACATTAGAAGACTGGAAAAACATTTCTTGGTCTGAAGAGTCTCGATATCTGATCTGGATGATAAGGTCGTGCTTTCTATCAACAGTTCAGGCTGCTGCGTGGGGGTTATTTTCCAAGTGAGGATTATTTACATACAGCCTACCTGAGTATTGTTTCTGACCATGTCTGTCTTATTATGACCACACTGTGCCAGCTCCTGATGGCTGCTGTCCAAAAGTCTTGTTGCCAGGAAAATAGGAAATAGGTGCAGTGATTTACTGGAATGTGCAAAAGAAATACAGTGTATATGGGAAAAACAGTACAGTACAGTTCTAATGAGGTCAATGTGTGTATTTGGATGTTTGTTTCCTGATCCAGGCGTGTTTTTACTAAATTGACTGTGTATTTGAGATTATTGCCATGCTGAAATATGAAGCTGCTGCTGATCAGATGCTTTCCATATGGTCTGCATCACGGATCGAAATCTTCCTGCACTTTCCTGCATTCATAATTCCAGAATTTTCTGCGAGATCATCAACACCATGGCTGAAAAATGCAACCCCCAAACCATAGCAGAGCCTCCAGCGTTTTACAGATGGCTGCACACACTTGCTGTTGTACTTCCTTTGTCCATATTGACAATTAATCACTTCACAATATCTGTTGCCAGTGATTTTCAGTGCAGTTGCTGAATCATTTGGGATACCTTAGCCATTCCTCAAGAATAGCTTTTTGACAGTCGCCTTTCTACCAAGACCATTTCTAATGAAGTTTTGGCAAACAGTGGATGGATAAACGGATCCGTGTCTGAGGTCCTGTGTCACATCTTTTCTAGATTTTCTTTCTTAAAGACTTGGCTTTTCGATAGCAATCATCTGCTGGAGGTTTTAAGCCTTTAACTTCTTTTTTGGCCCTCCACTTGCGAGGCTGGGTTTCCTCAACTTTTTTGCCTCAAATCTTTCGAAGTCAACTTGTCCGCACAAAAATACAGTTTTATGCCTGTCAGACTGTTTCCTTTGTAGCATTTGTTTTTAGAGTCAACAAAAATGGTAACAAATTATGTGTTTTGGTGACAGGTTACTAGTAAATCTTTTTTTAAAGCCTAAATATAAAATTAATTTATTTAAAATCTCCAGAAAGCCAGGAGAGCTACTGTTAAAAACTGAAAACTCATTGGAAGTAAAGTATAGCAATGAAAGGTGGCGCAAAGAAGAAAAGATTCACTAGAAAATTATTTTGCTATTTTCTGTTTCTGCCTTGAACCTCGTCCTTCTGGCTAACCACGTGATTTAAATGTGACACTACAGATCTGGTTGGCATCACACACCATTACTGATCATTTAAGATTATAAGTGTGCGCGCCTGTCACCAGGTTTTTTACTATTGTTCTTTGTTCACAAAGAGCTAGAGGAAAGAAAGGTTCAAACACTCCTAAATGGCATCCAGGCAGTGAAGAGAAAGAACACCAAATATAATTGCACAAGAAAAATCACTCAAGTTCAAACATCGTCCACGATTTCACCTGGATGTCTGAACAACAATCATGTTTTTCTCTCATCAAGTTCTCTTTGTCTGTCCTTTGACATGAAAAACACCACAAACACATCACGAGTGTTACATTTTATTTGGTCTTATGTCTTTTTGAGCTTTTTTTCCTTTGTTTTTCTCCACAGGTTAAAACCCATTTTAATAGTCAAGAGAAATAAAAACATTTTCACATAACTGTATACAGAAATAATCCTCTTGTGCACAATAAAAACAGTTGATTAGGCCCAGCCCAGTGCGAGATTTCACAAAAATGCAACAAGAATGAATTTTCAAAGCCCAAGGACTGCAAAACCTCCAACTCGCAGGAGCAGAGAGTTCTGAGAGAGATGTAAAAATGACTGCCAGGGCAATGCAACAGTTGTGTTATCACATCGCCTAGGTTGTAATAAAACACACAATAGACATGGAAATGAATCTAATTACAAAAATAGCAAATAGATACAAAGGCAGAGAGGTGGTTGAGCTTGTCTGCTACCTTAAGGTACTTACAAACATTTCCTCTCCATCTAGCAGTTTTATGCACATAAAAATTCAGTATGGGTGCCCCAAGGGGACATTCGGCTGCAATTTAAGTGTAAGATTTTGCTGCAATGTACATAAGGAAAAGGAAATCGAGCTCTAACAGGCACATTTCTCAAGGCTTTTCAGTAACACAGACAAAGTACTAGGGCTTGCAGAAAAATCAGTTTCGTGCAGATTTGGCCAACTTGGTGAACGGGAACGTAACATTGATCTGTCTCATGTGAAGCACCCATACATCTTAAATACTCCAGTGAAAACCTAGAAAATGCTTTGTTCATATGAAGCAATCAATCCATCATCCTAACGTGGACTGTGTCCCTGACCATCTTGAGAATGAAATAGTTTTAATCCAGTGTGTAAAAAGATGGCCATTTATAAATATCCACATTAACCCCTATATATAAATTTTGTCAATGTCCTCAGCTGGCTGGCAGGAAACTGTCAGAATGCAAAGTCTTTTTCACAGTACTGTGAAGCTGTGAGTGGGAGAGATTTGACCACTGAGTCATGGGGATTTGTACCATCCAAACCGTTTCAAATTGCCTCTCTGGATCGTTTAGAGTTCAGCCATTTAAGCCCAACCATGAGCACCTGAAAGAGACCACCTACTGTTAAATACCCTCGAGCCTTAGTAAAAGACTTTACCGTCTTATATCTGTCTAAGGAGACGTTAATCAGGTTAAGCCTCGCCAGTTTAGTCACCTATATATCCGTTAATATTGATTTTTTAAAAATGAAGACGTCTTTGTCACTAAACGTGTCAGTGCTCTGCTAAACCTGCAAACATCCGTGAGCAAACATCAGTTCACTGGAACCGACTCGACCCATCAGTTGATATCACCTCTAGCTAGTGCTCAACTTTAACATTCACGCTAATGCGCATCTTAAAATGATTTATGCTTAGCTGTCCTTAATGAATGCATGATGGGGAAAAGGTGACATTTAAGGTGACAGAAGCATAATTTACAGGTTGAGGAAGATCACGAGGTAATTGTGTGTCAATAGCAAGACGGAACAATAATCACAACCGCAGGGCTGTTGTTTGCTGTTGAGTAGAGGGGAGGCATGAGTATGTGGGCCTTGGACTTTATAACCTCATAGATAAAGTCTGTGTTTACTTTCTGCACTGAGCGGCAGCTTTCTCCAGGAGCCATCATTGAGGTCTTGAACGTGAACTGGTCTTTCTTTCATTTCTCCTATTCACTGGCTTTTTGTTGTTACTGAAAAAGGGACAGCAGATGGTGACCTTGGATGCACAGGCTAAAAAGAATTAGGAATAATATTCACAGTTTCAGAGCCTGAGCATTAGCTTACACACCTGGCGGCGCCTGTCACAGACACAGCTTTTGTTCCCATCCCTATTGGGATGTGCCACACCAGTACAGTCGATGAAAGGTCATATTTGATCATTCTGTCTCGGCCTATTAAGGCCAAACAAAGGCCCGGGCAGGTGTTTCGATTTAATACGAGCCAGATCGAGCAATAATGCGTGTCTGTCGCTGACAGCTAGCTGGGGGACAACTAAACAAGGGTGAAAACCAGGCATATTTGTAACATCCACTTAATTGAACACAAACAAGCAAAAGCAGCAAAGGTAAATGGAGTGAAAGCCGCTGAAATGGCAGGCCATCTATTTTGTTGTTTCAGAATGTGCTCTACTGACCTGCCAAGGTAAAATTTCATCAATAAAGCAAATACAACACACGTTCAGCCTTAGTTTTTTTCCATCCGGCCTTATTGAACCATTCTCCAATTTGCCTGGTAACCATGAAGGAGAGAAAACATACTTTAACCGCAGCTGCAGCAATTCTTCACTGGACTTCCTGACTTTCTTCAAGTCGAACAGTGTTCCCTGCCACTGTACGTAATCATTTCAATTCAAGCCTTCAGACTGTTAAATGAGTTTCTTTTTCATGCCAGAAAACAAAACAAAACAAAGCTCCCATATTCCCCATTTAGCTTTCTTACTTTAACTAGAACAAAGTGCATTAATAACACTCAGCATTTCCCTCACTGTCACACACTAGTCATAAAAAGACAAAAGGAAGGAACACAAGTAAAGACAATATCAGTTAATATGTCCTAAAGAGTGACCAAAAAAGAGAGTTTATTCTGCAGACTGCTTGGGTGATTTGCTTCATGCCAAAGGTTAGCGTTAGCTATTAGCTACTGACGGCTAAATAGGCTGCTATTTAGTTTGTTTAACCATCTGTGTTATCAGGCTCCACCTAGCTGAGCTCACAGTCTTATCAAAATGAAGACTGAGCAGATAAAACTATTGAAAATTAAAAAGTAAAATAACTTACATTCAGAAATTAATCATTTCAGCAGCTGAATGTTTTTGTTTTGTTGGCAGCTTTTTGTTTTTTCCGAGCTGAGCAGGAGCAACAAACACAAAAAAGCACTTTTATTTCTTTTCAAACTCGAGTTTAATCACTTCTGTCATTTCTGCAATATGTTAAGGTTTGCCAGATCATTTTATCAAGTGCTTTTTAGTGGTTTTACGTTTTTACTTTATAACCTCTTGCACAATATATTTGACTATAACTAATTTAGGGATTTTCTGGTTTCCTAATTTTGCCTTAAAGATGACAAATATAGCAGGTTCATAAGCACCTGGCACTATTATTTATAAAGCTATTACAGGTGTCTCGGTCTCCCTGAATAGCATTAGTCCCATGGAAGTCTTTGCATGATTACTGCTACAGCTGAATCAATGGTTTAATCAAGGTAAATCAGATAATAAGTATGCATGTAAACACATCTGCTGCTCACAAAGCAGCCAAATTAAACCTGTGAGTGCAAGTGTAACCTGAACAAACACAAAAACAGCACATTCTACTGTTCCTCTTTCACAAAGGGTTTTGTTTTCTTTTTTTAATCTGGTTAATGGCTCTGATTTTTCACCTTTAAAATTTTAAAACAACACCACCACTCACAGGTGGCCTCTTGGCTTGATGAGGGTCAGGGCCTTAGGGGTTCTCCACGGTGCCATCTCATTAGATTTCATTCATGTAATAGCCAGTTGCCATTCAATGATTAGGGGTAATGGTCTGAGCTTGAACTCTGAATGAAGATCATAGACTCTCGTCTGCTCGCTGCCACCGAGCGGCTCAAAGCAGCTCACTGGTGGCCAGATATAGGGCTCGCCTTTAGAGATTTCAGTTCCTTTCTCCCTGTCAGTTTGTACTCGGGGCAGTGATTTGCAATGACGGATGGGGCGATGCCTGAAAGCGCAGAGCATCACAATCAACTCATCAAGACTTTAGTATTGGAGTGCTGGCTGTCAGCTCCTGCAGATAAATGGCAGCTCTGGTTTCTAAATCTGACAGCCAAAACCGAGAATCGGATGTCTTTGTCCACAAAAGGCTTCCTAAAATGTGTCCCTTTTATCCCCTCAGCGAGCTGACTGTACATCTTTCAGATTACACATTACGAACTGAAGTAGGAGTATTTTGTCTATGAATAACAATCCAATTGCAGCCTAAATAATTCATTACCAGAAAGGCTTCTAACCACCTCGAGAAATTACGAGCAGGAGTAAAAACATTGTGTCCCAGGTAATAATGTAATCATTTGTGTAAAGCACTGCAGTTATTGAAAATAATATTTTATGTCACTGTACACACACACACACACACTTGATGGAGAAGGCCAAATTGTTCTTGTCATCATCGGGGCTGAGAGAAAATTAAAGTCTGGCTCCCAGACAACGTGCAGACATGACGTGACTGGCAGGTTGAAGTGGATACTTCACACACGGACAATTTATGACAGAAATAACCTGCCAGACGTTTCAATCATCTCGATTTCCTTCATGTTTTTCTTTTTTTTTATACTGCGGGGGCTCGCAGAGCATCTGTTGACAATAACAGCTACCCAAGTGTAATGACTATCAGAAGATAGCTGTCGTGACTTTGCGTGTCGACGTGAACAGACAAGGCAATAACTCGTCACTTGTCATGTCTTTAAAATGTCGGTGGGGAGGACAAGAGAGCGGAGAAAGGTGGGGAACGCTGCCGAAGGATAAACTATTTTCTATACTCATGTCCACGTCCAGGTGGTGGCAGGTGAGTTGTTCAATTGGAGAACAGGTTGACATCACGACAAGCACGCTGTCAAACACTGCTTGGGTAAACATGTCAGATTTGGAATGGTGGCGGTCTGTATGTAATCGCTTTTACTCGAGTGTTCACTGCAGTGGAACTTTGTAACCCTCCAGGTACATACCAACTACACAGTCATCTACATGACAAACTGCAGCCTCGTTAAAATCAGGCTCAAGGATTTAAAAGAAGCCTTTGTCACCTTGTCTAACAGCACTCGTATCCTTCTTAACAGATTCATAATCCAATGGGTTGGTAAGACTATTTTCTTTTTATTTCCTAATCAGACAATTTGACATTTACGCCCACTTTCCGCAGCAGTTGCCAGATGTGCGGAGGCGTGACAGTAGACAGCGTTCTGAACTAGGTCTTATTTCCCTTTTTCCTTTTTTAAAATTCCTGATATGACTACCTCCATCTAATTTCAAATCGCAGAAGAGTTAAAATGTGCACTTGTGCATTTTGCCACATCTCTGTGACAGGAGGCTGTTCACTCAATCTAAAAAATCTGCTATCAAATATAGTATAGAAGACACCCACACGTTAGCAGCTAGCTCATTCAAAGAATTAAAAATGAGATCTTTACAAGCTGGCTATAGCTGGTATACACAGTAGAGAACACACGTACACGTTATTGGGCCAAAGAAGAAGACAATACACCTTTCAATTTCAAACCATAATGCCTTGGTAAAATGAGCACTCTCCTGCAAATGGACTCTGTCCTAGAACAAATGCCATCTCTTCTAGCTGCATAGAAACCTGGCTGTGACTGAACTGAACGCTCTGCTGTCAGGACAAAACTGCCCGCAAGAAAAACTTTCCAGATACGAAAGCAGTGAAGGCAGAACAAAATGAAAGGAGCAGAACTATCTCCCAAATCACCTCAGGGGTTAAGATGCAAAAAATAAAAAATTGAGCTTTGACAGCGAAGATGAAGTCCGGTCAGGAGCTGTAGCCAGTGGCAACAGAGAGACAAAGAAATGGAAGACAGAAAAGGCGGCTCAACCTGTCGTTGAAACTTTATGCATGTGATAGTGCGCAGCTTAAATCTACACATAAGCCGGAGCGGGGCGCAACTCGATATGCGGGGCATTTTTCTAATGTCGGGGCAAATTAATTAACCAAATATCTCAGCGCTTTGTTATGCTCCCTGCTCTTATCGAGAGGCTAATTATCACTATCAGCTTCCTCTGTACGTCAGTGGGATTATTAGGCTAATCACAAAGCTTTTCCCTTTGGAGACAAGGTTTTCACTCTTCGACAGAACAAAGCTGTTATTGTCCTCCAATGACACGGTGACAGCGATGGAGCGAATCAGCATTTGTACTTGAAATGTTAGAGTAAAGCCATCGTTAACAGGCTCAGAGTTTGTGCTAGGTAGGTGGGTCTCTCAGGTGCTTCACCTGCACTGGTTTAGTTACGTTGAACCAGTGCTTGAGCTGACTGTCAATTTAAAAAAAGCAAAAACACACCCTCAAAAGCTGTTGTGCATTGGTAGTCTGGAGTTATTTTGTTGCTGCAATTTTCCCACAACCTGTCTCACACCACTACATTCCTCGGGATGATTTTAGAAAATAAACTAATCCCTGAGAAAGTGTGAACATGTTACATTTAGCATGTACACTTATATACCACAACATTAAAACCACCTAATACTGGGTAGTGCTTCCGATTGCTTTCAAGAGTGCATGCAGAAACATGCACGTTTGCATGCGCTGGGAAGTTAGCAGTGGATCGTTTGGGGCTGGTGGGTTGTTCAGGATTGTTGCGGTCCATTTTGCTAACGTGGGTTTTGATCCGAGTTTGAAGACCAAATCAGAGCCTTAGATTTTTGAGAAGAGGGTTCTTGGTCTGAAACAATGCTAAGGCAGGTGATACGTGTCAAAAAAATCCACACATTTTACAGCAGAAAATAGCAATTTAAAAATATTGTCAGTCTTATTCACTTTCCCCCTCTGAGGCTTTAATGTTGTGGCTGATAGGTGTAGAATGTAATGTAATGATAATGAACCATAAGAAAGTTATTGCTGTAGTGCATTCTGGTGTGCTGAGGCTAAAAACATGATGTTGCCACATCTGTACAGTGAGGTTCTCCCTGTATTCCTGTTATTTTTTTTTTTGTTATTTTTTTTTTTACCAAAACAAAAACCATTAAATTGGAGGGACGCTGCTGTTCTCACAACGCTAAAAACATCTGCTGAGCCAGGGAATACTGGACATTGCCGATCAAGAAACTTTAGCAGACATTCTGGAGAGTTAGATGAGAACATCAGTAGCACTTTCATTTCAGTGTGGAATCCATGAAGCCAGGTAAACTAAGCAAAAACAAAATTGCTCCTGTCAAAGGTAACAAGTCCATCTAGAACTTTAAGTGTCAATCAGCATTAAATTCGACTGGAAAAGCACCAAGTTGTGATTTTTATAGGTGCTTTCGTGGGTAACATTTTCTTGGCTATGAGCACTGACTTCTTAAGTCATCAGCTGGTAGGTTAGCAACCACTGAGTGACCAGACGTCACTGCAGAGGGATAAAACAGAAAATGCTTTTTGTGTGGCCTTCACAGATCTCTGGAATGTTTTCCTTGGACTAACTTTTCCATATTGTTCCATGTTAAGCAATCTGCTTTGCGAATGAATGATAATAAGAATGGTTTCAATCTTCACATGTAACTCTCTAGGGAGGGGGGAAAATGAAGCATCTGGCTCATATTTACTCAGACATTAAAATTTGGTACATGAAGAAACTCAGAATCATGGGTTGTGAGACTGATAACGCCTACAAATTAAGCAGACTTTTTTTGTAAAGTACTTTAAAACACTTTTAAAGTACTTTGTTGAACCTCTTATAGGTGGCGGTGATTAGACAGTATTTCTAACAAAATCTGAGAACCATATGTTCAAATACTCTGTGTGATTGTGTCAGTTTGCTCTGTGTTGTTCTGTTCTGGCACTTTGAGGAGGTAAAAACAATGCATTTGCAAACAGCCTTCGTCGACTTACACAGTCACAGCGGCATTCTTTGGCATATGACGGGAATGCGGAGGGCACCCCTGTCTTGTTTCCTGTGCTGTGTCGCCTGCCAGCCTGAATGAATCTGCCAATTCCTGGCATTTCCCACAGAATGTGACTGGAATGTTATCTGCTTCCAAGTGGAATGCCTGGGTCACGGTTTCATCTCGGATTTCTTGAGCGACCTAGTATCCAATCAGAGTGCTTTCTCCCATAATGCAACACGCAGACGCAGTTTAAAAAAAAAAAAACAGTAAGCTTTCCTTGAACAATGAGTCTAGACATACATGCAGACGATATTTTTCTTGCACTGCAATGCTAAGCTGATTTGCAAATTTAAGCCAGATTCGTAGCATCTTCCCTACGCACCAGATTAACCATTCAAAGAGCCTTGAAAAGATATATATTAAAAACACTTCACGAAATAAGGCACTCCAATTTTCCATTGTCCTGAAGGCGTTCAGTCTGCAGAGAGGTAGAGGCAGATGAAGCTGTGCAAGTCGCCTTATCCACCTCTGCATTGTCACAATGCTTCAAAGGTAAGGGGAGATGAAAGCAGTTGATATGAGCAGTCTGATAGAATCTGAAGATGGGGCTAGTGATCTGTATCCTGCTCCTTCAAAGGGATAGAGAAACAGAGGAAAAAAGAGAGAGAATGAAATGGGCACCAGCTATTGGTTCACAGGCAGCTATCCCACAATTCATTGTACCACCTTTCACTGGCTTTCTGGTTTCCAAAGCAGCAGGCTGGTGTATAAATAAGACCTGTGATGATTGGTGCTCCCAAAGGGGAAAACCTCCCTTGGTAGGTTGAGTCATGAGTGTGCATGTTTTTTTATAACATCCGAATCCTTGTTCCGAAGTAGGACATAGTAGTGGAAACGGTCCTGGACTGTGCTCCTGCAATCAATTCCAGGCTCATATCATTGAGAATAAACCCCTTGTTGGGGCAAGGCTGGATTCAGAACCTGTCGTCTTTGAGTTGCGTCGGGGACTTGAATGGCTTGAGCCCCAGTATCCTGCGGGGGTGAGCCCTCTCTTTGGTGCCATCCAGAGGCTTGTTGCAGGCCCCGCAGCCAAAGTCAATAAGGGCCGAGTCAGCTGAGTTAATGGGTGCTATACGGAAGGAGGGCAGCGTGGGAGAGCCGTTGGCAGAACATGGGGCAGAACGCGATGTGGGAAAGGGAGCTGAGAAGGGGTCAAAGGGTGAGGCACCATCCGAACCACTTGACGGATCAGCCTTGAGGGCAAAGGGGTCGCAGTCAGGAGAGGGGAAAGGGTCACAGTTGGTGAAGGGGTTGGTGGGTGACGGCTGATAGCTCAGTAAGTTGCTTTCTGAGCGGTGTGGGCTGCGCCCACCACCCGAGTTTCCACCACCTGCTGAGATAAAGCTCCAAGGGTCGATGCGGGGGCGGATGGGAGATGGGCGGGGCCGAGGAATGACGCTGACCTCCAGGCGGCGTGTTTTGGGGCTCCAGAGCGCAGGGTTGGGGTGGAGAGCCTTGTCATCAAAGTCCTGTGTGTCTTGGCACAAAGGCAGGTCTAAAACTGAAAAGCACATAAAAGGAAAGAAAAACATTAACGAGGCACTGAAAGACAGTATCTGTCCGAAAAACACTGGAAACATTTCAAAACACTGTTTTTTGTCAAGTATATGTAAGGTGAATATAATGTGGTGGGGTGTGCAATTTCAACTGTTTGCAACTGGAGTACAACATTTTGACAAGGTGCTAAAAATTCCAAGTGCACAGCAAGCTGCTGGGTGACGATTCCTCGCTGAGCGCCTGACACTTTTTCAAGTCATTCAGAGTTCATAAGCAGTCAGTACAACACTGTGCTCATTACTGTCCCAGTGGACCCCAACCAACAACACACTTCCTTCACTGTTTGTACAAGTGCTGAACAACAAGTGAGCAGAAGTTAATGCTTGGAGGAACATTTTGTTCACTGTAGGTCTACCAGTTAAGAAACAATCAGTAGCAAGACCCACTTCAAGAAGGATTTTGACATTACCTCTGTGGATACTCAGTATCGTAGCAACCAGTGTCCCAACTGAAAAAAATAATGTTGCAAATCTCTCTGAAAGCTCGGATTTTTCAGAAGAGATGGCAAAACTAAAAACCTTTTGGACCCCGTTGGACACAGGCCCTAACTTAAGATGACCCTGCTGACATCATGAGCGTTAGTGAATTGAGGAAGTTGCCATTTCCTCATGCGGAGCTGTACTCTCCTGAATGGCTTAACCTTTTCACAAATACACAATATGAGAAAAAGGCTTCATATTCAACATATTAAACATCTTCATCATTTTGTCTTCAACTGTCTTGGTAGAAAAGTTTAATTGTTAATCTGCAAATGACTCTCAGAGTACTGCAGAACTGCCCCAGTGCGCTCTCAAACACTCCTCTCCAACCAAACTCTGCCAAACAGTGTGTGATGAAAGTGATCCAAGCAGTAATATGAAATCGGTACATTACTGTTCCAAGAAGAAATGGAACAATTACCAGCACAGAATGCTGATGCAATTAGTTTAAATTAAGTATAACATAGTACAATGTAGCTCTTTGACAAAGCAGCAACAATGGCAAGCAGAGAGTGTAAATTAGTACCGACAGGAACATTAAACTCAGTATAAATCAGTCTGAATGAACATTTACCAGTTCCAAATGTGATGTGTCTGCCAAATGGCATTATTTACATCAACAGCAACTCTCCAAGGCTGCTAAGCTATTCAGCTGACAAGAAAAGAGCAATCAAGAGTCACATGAGAGCAGGAACAAAAGTAAAGAAAAAAGCAGAGGAAGGAATCCTCTGAATTTGTCTCTTTCACATGCACATTCTCCGCCAATAACCTTGTGGCAGTGTGTCTATGCATCTGAGCCTGAGTCATTACAGCCAATAAACATAATAAGATGTTTAGCTAAAACACTCGCTGTTTAATTATGTGTGGCTTTTTAGCCGGATATAACGGGCGCACATGTTTCGGGAGATCATGGCTGTTAGCAACGGAGCAGGCGAGGCTCGTCTGCTCAGTACCTGCGGGCAGAGCTGGGGAAAAAAACCTCTCTGTGGAGAATCCAAGGCTTTGTGACTCAATCGGACCATATATAGAGTGTGAAATGTTACCCAGGGGCACTCTTAAAGCCTTCCTGAAGCCCACTCGCTCACAGAACAACCAATGCTCATGCCTCCGTCATTACAGATCTGAAGTGTGTCAATGTGTTTCTAATGCATATTAGCCTTCGGAGGGATAAAACGTGACTATACTGTAAAATTAAAACGCTGATTAAACACAAAGAATTCATTTAAACACAAACCACGACACGTTTCATAATGAAGGATACTAATGCTAACTACCGGCACTACTGGCCAAGCCTGAGAAGCGATGCTGAACTTCAGCCAAATTCCCAATCTACCCGAGCCAGTGAGGTCAAGAATAGATTAGTGGGAACTTTGAATGTGCTGCGACCTCAGCTGTGATGCCTCATGTTTCCCATTCATCTAAAGAAAACTGTCTGTCTTGGGCAACAAGAGAGGACTGGACGGTAGCTTTGCTTCGCAAGTATTAGCAGTGAAGGATGAAGGGCCAGCTGTTACCTGAGATATGCAAATAGGCAGAAGAAAAAGCTTTGATGTAAATGAAAAAGCTCATACAGCACTGAAGCCTCTGTTGTGCCAGAAAGATCTTGCTAAAGAAAAAATAAAAAGGCACAATATTTCTAAGGAACTGTGAGGGAACATTGTAATGCTGAGGCGGTACATTATTCAAGGCAAAGGCTGGATCAGAATTGCAGGGTGTCCTGTAGACACACTCTGAGGAATGCAGATGAATTATACAGCTAAATTAAAACAACAAACAAATTATTTTACCAATCTGGAGACGACACTGCTTTAAAAACTGCACTTTTATCAAGCAAAAATATGTACAAGACGCAATTTGCTTCCTACATGACCCATAATGAAGCTTTAACGTAAGGTCAATATGGGAGTAATCACATAATGTGTTCGGCTACTTTTCTGTTTACATGTCTAACACTTTCCCACACTGTCCATCTGATTACTGACATCATTACTCGAGTCCGATCATCTTCTCGCCTGCCTTCTTGGAACCAATCAGCCTGGTTTAAATCTGTGCTCTTGGTCATCCTCCCTTTCAGACTGTCTCCTCCCCATCTCCACCTCAGAAACCTCGGCCAGAGCTCTGCTTAAGCCTCAGTCTTCATCTTCACCACCATCAGTGTCTAGACTCCGGGGGGTCCTGTCCTAAATCCTATCACTCCTGGGATTCTATTCTGCCATGATGGGTCATCAGAGTCTAATTGCCAAATAATTAATTTCTCTCTCCCAATAAATTACGTTCAGTTCTTCCAAGTTATCTCTTCTTATTGAAAAGCAACTTAAAGAAGACCAATTATGCTTTTCTGTATTTTCTGAATATGTATAACATTATGACTAGGGATGGGTACCGATTTCACTGTAGTAATCAGACCAAAAAGCTTTATTTATGCTTTATTTCTGTGCTTTATTTTCCTGAGATGTCATACACTTTGAATTCTAGCCAATCATTTTACCTTTCCAAGGATAGTAGGCGGGCCCAGGTACGTACGCTCTTTTAGAACAGAGCTACAGATTAAAAATGCCCAAGGCGAAGCGATCAATGTCTGGCTGTACTTCACAGCAAAAGATGCAAACTCAGCAGCCTGCAACAAGTGCTTTAAGGTGATACTGTGCAAAGGATCTCCTCGAATCTGATGAAACACCTGGTGACGCATAGCGTTTCTTTAAAAGCCGAGAAATGCACCGCATTTGATAGCTTGCTGCGAGACCTCACACCGAGCACATCTACTGCGGGTGTGGTGCCTGTTATCGGACCCGGAGTTAGCAACATCCCCCAAAACCCGAAGAGGAGAGTCCTGGCCCCTAGCCCTGCCAGTGTAGCAGAAATGATGACGGATGATGATGGCAGCAGCAGCCGTTCTTCTCTGCGTGAGTAGCTTAATGTTGTTTGTGTGTAATTTACGTTGAGTAGGCTAACCACGTTATTACATTAATGCATGTAAGGTGAACTAGCAAACACCGTCGTAGTTACATGCGGCTGTCTTCTTGTTTGATGGCAGATACTCCCTTCACCCTGGCCAAAAAGGCTAAAATGACCAAAGAAAAAGTGGAAAACAGCTGAACATGAGAGGTTTTTGGACAAAGTTTGTGTTTTTTCCATTGTTTAAGCACTGCTTCCAGCCAACAGTGATACCATATATGCCCCATAGCTGCAGAAAAAGCTAACATTGTTATCTTTGTCCTAAAACCTCTCATGTTTAGCTGTTTTGTTTTGTTTTTTTGTAAAAAGTTTGTGTTTTCCATTGTTTAAGCACCGGTTCCAACCAAAGGACGTATCTTGTATCAACAGAAAAGGCTAACTTGGTTATGATTTTGCAGAAAAAAAGAGACTGCTAAAAATAAAAACATAAGAGGTTTTTGGACAAAGTTTGTGTTCTCCATTCTTTTAGCACTGGTTCGAGCACCGTTTAAGCACCGGCACCGTTTCAAAAGTACCGGTTTGGCACCGATATCGGATAAAACCTAAACGATACCCATCCCTAATTATGACCAGTGACAGGTGAAGTGAATAACACGGATTATCTCTTCTTCATGGCAGCTGTTAGTGGGTTGGATATGTTAGAGAGCAAGTGAACATTCTGATTTCAAAGTTAATGTGTCAGAGACAGAAAAGTATGCAAGAGTAAGGATTTGAGCGAGTCTGACAAGCACCAAACTGTAATGGATAGACGACTGAGTCAGAGCATCTTCCAAAACTGCAGCTCTTGTGGGCTGTTCTCAATCTGCGGTGGTCAGTGTCTATGAAAAGTGGTCCAAGGAAGGAACAGCGGTGAACCAGAGACTTGGTTACAAGCAGCCAAGGCTCACTGACACAGATGTGGTCCAATGCAACAGATAAGCTACTGTAGCTCAGATTTCAGAAGAAGTTCATTGTAGATAGAAAGGTGTCAGAATACACAGAGCATCGCAGTTCTTTGCCAATTTTTGAAGCAAAAGGGGACTAATGCAATATTAGACAAGTGGTCCCTTTCTCACCGGCTACTCAAGCCTTTTGTTTTGAAGGCAAGCCAATCAGAAGAAAACAGATAAAAGCAAGGGGGGCTTAAAGGGAGAGGAGCTAAAAGACGGCATACAAAACAAGATAAATATAAATAACATTGATAAATATAATTATATATTAAGTGTCATAAGGACTGTTTTGATCTGTGAATCATACAGCTCTAGTCAAATCAAGAATGCACATAGCAGGTCTCCTTTAATCCAGTTTTTGCTTGTTCATTCTGTACTTTCTGTCTCACAGTAATAAAAAAATCTTCTTTTTTTTTAAACTTTATTTTCTGGTGGTTGCCTGTGTAAAACAAACTCGAACCAACCTAGCTGAGAAGCGTGCAGGCCTTGGCTGGACCTCCTCCTCCTGTCAGCTCTGTGTTCCCAGGAGTCACTGCTCAGCTCCCCGTTACTGGAACTGTAAGTGGGGGTCCACTCTCCTGGGCTGGTCCTGTCGTGCTGCATGGAGGCACTGCTGGGACTCTGCGGACTGTGTGGCGTCCGGTGGCTGCTCCTCTCGCGGGGGTTTGGTGGAGGCGGTGTCAGGGGTAAAGGCTTTAGTTCTTGGTATTGCAGCGCTAAATCCAACAGGGGTCTGGGGAGCGGCTCCGAGGTGGAGAAGGTGATGAGATCGTCCACTACTGGAGGGTCTGAAATGAGGGGCCTAGGATGAGAAATCTCAAGTTCAGAGAGGCTGCGGCCCTCTAAGCAAGGTGGGTGAGTTCGAGGTGGCACTCTTGGGGGAATATCCAGGCAGCGACCAAGTCCTATGGAGGCAAGCAGGGAGCCGCTGCCCAGCAGGGCTCGGTGGGTGCTGTTAATCAGGCCACCGAGAGGCCCCCTCTCAGGCCTTGGAGAGCTAGCTGGGGAAGAACTCCCTTCCTCACTGCCCGAGTCTCCTTGAGACAGAGGAAGCCACGGGCTATCCTTCACCGATGAGCCTGCGGAAAAAGAAAGGTTTTAAAAAGACAAGGAGAGCCCAAAATAGAAGAAGAGGAATACTCAATTTATAATTCATTTAGCTTCGATTCATAATTCACAGTCATGGCAGAGAGAATTAGAAAGGAGGCTAAGTGGAAGATAAGGTGGTAAAGCTGGTGGTGAAGGGCAGTGGATACCATTCTGAGCAGGTGTAGGGGTTGGCGTGACGGGTCGGTACTCCTCAAAGTCATCCTTGGAGTCTCCATTCTCATTGCTGTCTGCCTTCAGGAGCTTAGCTCTCATCGACAAGCTGAAAACAGGAAAGATTTCAACTTAAGCATGGTGATGGTTAAGCATATCAAATCCATACACACAGAAGGAATAAGCAATTCTGCCGTACCTGCTTTCCTGGGGACTAAGGCGCAGGACTTTAGGACTTTTGGGACTTTTGGGGCTCTGTGGCCTCCAATGAGGGCTCAACCTGAGGTCTCCGTTGACTTGTTTATGAGAAGAGGTATCCAGGGAGGGCCGGACTGGGCTGAGACCGAAAGTCCTGCTGTTGTCACTGGGTACTGCAGAGAAGAGGGGAGAGAACACAATCAGTATGAGCTCGTTTATTATCAGCTTAGTTGCGTTCTAATCGGGTGAGTACGATCATCTCTAACACAGTTGACTTTAGAGCTACAATTCATGAAACTTGAAATTGAATGAAAGTTTAAGCTCCAGCGGACTTTAAAACAGATCATGTGACCACAGCCTATACCACAATAACAGCCGAACAGTCACAGGGCAGAAAGTGTGAAAAAAGGTGCCAAAGTTATCTGGGGGGTGAGCTCCAATGCAAACTTCTGATTAAAGCTGGCACTGCACCTGCCAGACACTGGCGGCACACCAGCGGGCTCGTGCTGCTAACACGAAGTGTGTGAACAGCGCGTGAACTTCCAGCCAGCCTGGGCTCTACTGTCACAACACCTCGCAACATATGGACTCCATCACACCCTTCCTAAGGCCTCGAGGATCCTTCTCAGCATGTCAACACCCAACAAGCCAGAAGAGCTATAAGTGGGATGGGCACCACAGTTACATACTGCACATGTCAAGGTGAAAACTTTGAAGCTGTCAGTTTATTCCATTGAGTTGTGGTTCTGTTTTTATCCCCAGTGTTTTGCGCTGCCATTTCATTTCAGCTTCAGAAATGGGAAAAGTAAATATGCTCTCTGATTGGACATGCTGTATTATGTCCTTTGGCCTGTACTGCGGCAGAGGCCTGGCTGATGCACTTTACCGCCCGTCACTCTCCAGCACTATGTTTTCAAAGCAAGCACAGGAGGCAGATGATAGTGCTGGCGTTACAATTTTATAAAGATCACACTGTGGCTCCCCATTCCCAGCCTTTTCCTCTCTGAACTCTTTTCCTTTTTCAGTGTGCCTCTATTAATATCAACATGCTTTCATAGAATATATTTTCTCATCATTTTGTAAAGCTCACAGGTTTTCTCCTCTGCCCCACGCTGATCAAATCTTTCTATTAACAGTGAAAAAAATTAAGAGAAATGCTTCTACTGTTGTTCGGACAGGAAATCTATTTTGTTAACGTATTAAAAAAATACCTCCACACTGATATATTTTTATTTAACAAACAAAAAGGCCAAAAAGGTAAGCCTTCTATGGTTTTTGCACACATTTCTGCAGTGCTTCCAAAGGTCTACGGAGCCTAGATGCAAAAGTAAACGATACATTTCTTTCAACACAAGTTGGTGACATTGTGACACCGAGTTGATAACGGAATATTCAGAAATAGAGGTGGTTTTAGGTGTGAAAGTAAAATTGTGGACATCAGGAACTCATCAGAATAGTGAGCAGCTGCCTTTTAAAAGGACACATCTCTACATATGACCGAAAAGGCTCTTTGCCTTTTTCCAGCTTGGGAGGAAAACACAGGGAATGGCGATCGCAGAGGCAACGACGTCTGCCTCGGGTAGATGTTGGAAGATGAAAATGTTTTATTGTTACAGTATATTTAACCTTTGCTACGTTGCACATTTTAAATGCTTTGGGATTTTAAGAAGCTTCTGAAAGGCGTCAGTGTGATCCTGCCTGGATGCTAATGTAACAACAAACGTTAGCTGGTTACAGGCTACAGGGCTGCTGCAACACAGCCAGCACAATCATCTTTATGCTTTTTCCTTATTAACCTGACTTCTATCAATGTTTTGATTTTGCGCAAACGACAGCGTGGCGGCCATTCCCACGCTCTGTAGCATTTAGATCATCAATTAAAAGTCCAAATTTAGCCTGCTGTACCTCAGGTACTGGAACTGGAAGAAGGAAAAGGACTAATAGAACCAAATCTAATCCTGCCCCCGCAGATAGAAAAAATAAATAAATAAATGATGACAGCAGTATCCATAAGCTGCCAACACACATGACACAGCCAACCTACTGAGATGCTAAAAACACAAACTATTACAATCTCAGAGTTCAAAAACTCTCTAAAAATAAGAGGCAGTTTAATTTTCAACATATCTATTCAGTAAAAACATGGCACAGTGGAATCTAGCTCTGTGGACTAATGCAAATCAATTTGGCAGTTCTCTAGACAAATCAGTACGGGAGGCCCTTGCAATAAATCACTGCTTGCTACCGAGAGGGCAAGCATAAATATCCACTAAACACATTTTAATGACAGGCACACTCATGGCTTAGTGACTGCCATTAAGCAGAGTCATTAGGAAGTAAAGAAAACCAGCCCGCTACTTAATGAATAAATGAAGCTGGCAGATGTTTTAGATTGACTAACCACTTTATAGATAAATGTTTCACTGCAATTTGTGCTTTTATGTTAACCCGCGGTGGTAATTGTTTTGTGAAGTCTCTTTTATTGCCTGTTGCTACACCACAAAATTTCCTTTTGGGTTGTATTAAAACGCCCCGTGACCTGCTGGCTACAATTTCCCTCCGAAGGGAAAAATCTCGGGCGTTTGTCTAAGAAGCCGACAAGCAGGCGAGCAATGTAGATCTCTGCCGCTGCTGCAACCCTTTTCTCCTGGAGCAGTGAATTCCTCCCTGCTTATTTTTAATTCAGTAAACCGCACTGTAGCCACTACATGCATATAAAAACTGTAGACGCTTAAGTGCCTGGAAAACATAGCTGAATAGCTCCCCCCACTGCAGCACTGATGTAACTGCAATCAGCAGGGGAGCAGAGCAGGGCAGCGGCGGAAAAAAAAAAAAAGCTGCTGAGAAGTGCTGAGCTGCTGAAAGGAAGTCAGATAATATTTGGACTGGAACACACTATTGAAAAGGGAAAAGGGTGTGTGTGAGAGAGACAGAGCAGTGAGGGGGAGAGAGAGAAAGGGAGCTGGGGCCCACAGGGAAATGGGAAGACAAAAAGATGAGTGGGTGGTTGAGAGCACATAAAAGGAGTAAATTTGGAAATGGAGACGAGTAATGTCGCAACAGAGTCTGTGTGTGCATGCAAGATGGTGAGAGACGTTATTCTTTTGCTTTTCTCAGCGCGTTGAGAAACGCCTCCACATACACTCGATATATATGTACGTAAAAACGACTGCACTCACACTGGATAGCGCGGAACCGCGGTCCAAAGGAAGGTGAGGAGCCCGAACCCAAATCGGGAGAGTTCCGCCTTTTCTCCAGGCCTGGGGATGCCTGCACCGTAATTTTATGTATGAAATCTGAAAGACACACAACAGGATGTAAGACATTCATAAAGTCAAGAAATGTCAGCTGTTTTTGAGGTTGCAACATTTTTTTAGCTTCCTTATTTCTCTAAAGAAGCCAAGAGTTTGCTTTTGTAGAAATCGAGTGTTACACAAATTGTGATAGCAGTATTTCATTACATATCTATAAAACGCAGGAACTGAAGCAGACTTTAGCTGTCACACCTTCCACAGCCGATTTGTGCACTAATATGAGCCCCAACATGGCATTTCCCCCACGTTCTTTCAAATGCAATTGTATTTATCCTAGTACTCCTCATGTGTTCTTTGCAGTTATTACACTGTCATAATAATTCCAAGTGATAACACATCAATTTGAAGTTTTCAGCGTTGAACCAAGCCAACCAGCAACGAAAGGACTCGTGACCATAAAAACATTTGATCTAGATAAAAAATAAATAAAAAAGAAAAGGTCAAAAATGGCAAAGGCACAAGACTGTTGAAATAGTTTTTAAAGTGAAGGAACTATTCATCCCACTGCAACCCACAGCAAATCCCAAATTCCACAGCAAATAACTTCCAACCCTCTTGAACTGAGTCCTTTTCATTAGTTTTGTATAACAGCTTTTAATACACTTTGCAGTTTGTGGTGTGTGTAAAGCTTTGTTACTGATATGGTACAGTGCTTTGTTCGAGACTGCAATCACTGTTCTCACACTTTCTGAATTTTTCCCGCTCACCAAGCAACCTAATATTTGTGGTTTAAACGTTTCCATGGTTACGCCTCCGCCAATCAGGGGCATTGCTTTTTTGATTTAGGATTGTGGGTAGAGTAGTTTTTTTGAGAGAGAAAAAAAACAAGGTTGATATCGTAGAGACCTGTGGTTTTTACAGGGGCATATATGGTATCACAATCTCGCAGCTCACATCAAGTCTACTTTGGGTGCTTACAACATTACGGTTCATAATCAAAATCTCTCTGCAGAACACAGACAGGATTTTTATTTTTAAAATCTCACTGATGAGCTTTGATATAGGCAGATACATAATTGGAGGACTCACGAAAGACCTTACTCTTTCCATGTATCAAGCATTAAGGAAGCTACTAGTGGCAATGGCTGATAATGGCATGCTGATTAAAGTCCGTGTTTAACTACAACACTGATATCACTCAGAAAGGCCTGCAGGCCAATTAACACTATTCTATTCTACAGATAAACTGTAAAATTAATGAAAGACCTACATGTGGTGTCAGAAAGGAACTGCTACTGTTTGCTAAAGTTTGCTAGTGCATGTTGCTATGCTAATAGAGGTTAAACTAGCTAGCTAATTTAGCACATGAGGCAGCTAGCTTTAGCTAGTTAGCAAAAGTAGTGATTTTATGCAGAGTAACTGTTATGCAGTCGATAGACATGGAAGATAGGTGTATATGTTAAAAGCAGGACAAATTATTTACACTGTTACTATCCCAAAAATTTCACATTCATCTAAATTATTGCAAATCAGTCACCAATCTTGCTAGTGCTCAACTTGCTAAGGCAGCCTATCTGTTAAAAGGCCATATATGCAAAGCTTAACGAGTCTTCCTTAGTGAAGATTTTATGTTAAGATTTTATATTTCTGAAATGTTATGATTTAGATGTCTTACTTTTGTGTTTTAACACAGTTACAAAGTATCCCATGCTTTACTTTCTCAGATATTTTTGAATATGTGTGTATGTGGGGAAAAAATATCCCAAAAAGGACACATAAGTATGTTCCAGCTACTGAACCCCCTCCAAAAAACCCACAATATATATGTTACTGCAGGGTATAAGTGCAAGTTCAATATAGGATGGAGAAAAAGACAATAATAATATTGGTGGGAAAAGGGGAAAAAAAGAGAAAGGGATTCAGGCACATACTGTAAGAAGGAAAATAAAACCAGTGGCCAGGGAGCTAAAGAGGAAAAGGAACAAGACAAAATGGGTGAGGAAGGTATGCTTAAAAAGAAAGAGGGAGAGAGAGGCACAGAGTGAGAGCAAGAAAGTGAGAGAGGCCAGCCAGCAGTCTGTCCATGGACAGGAAGTGTCGAGGCGTGGTTGGCTCACTCTCCCCTCTCATCAACCCCCCACCACTACCACCACATCACCGCCCTGCTGCTGCTGGGAATGGCCTAACCACAACACACACATACACAGCGCGCATTTATGCATGCTTGCTCAGCCCAAAATACATGCTTTGAAACACTTGATGTGAACTGCTGCAGACTGTGTGACTTTGTGATAGCTCAGGACAAGAAACGGCAGTCAGGTGAGTAAGAGAAGAAAAAGAGGAGGGCAAAGTGAATCCTGGTCAGAGTAGATATCAGCAAGTCAGACCTGTGATCCACCTTTAAATTATTTATTTATTTTTAGATGGGGAGGGGAGCTGCTGAAAAAAAGATTTAAAAATGACAAAGTTTTTTATAATAGCGCAAAACTGCACCTGTCTGCAGCCTCTCTTTCAAAATGTCAATCTTTACATGAGTTCAGCCCTGATAGCAATTTTCCAAGGAGCCGTGCTACAAAAATACCAGTCGTGCCACAAAAACTCTCCCTCACTTCCTTCTCACTGCTCTCTTGCATGTGTTTTTTTTGGACTGTTGTTATTTTTTGCTTGTTGAGACTGACCAAGAAATCGAGTCTGATCTCTGACAGAACAAATCAAAGGCAGATAAGATGGATGGATAAGCCGACGCACCTTGGGGCATGCTGATCTTCTCGCCGTTCTTGGACTTGAGTTTGTGCTTTTTGAAGGTGCCCTTCCTCTTCTTGACATTAGGTTTCTCCTGGTTCTGGTTCAAGTGGAGGATGAGGAGGCTGAGCTCACGCTCGAACACATCCTGCTCCCACTGGGCCAGCTGTTGCTCACGCTGCCGCAGGAACTCTTCGTGAGATTTCTGCTCCAGAGCTGCTCGCTTTAGCTCCTCTTCACGGCATCGCAGCTCCTGATGGAGGGCGAAAGGCAAGTGAAAGAAAGTATTTAGAAGTGAATTAATATCAGCAGGTCTCGTGTGTGCGACTGAGGTTATGCAAATTTACAGTTTAATGAAACAAAATTCTGAGAAAATTGGTAGCAGTGAAAGCTATTATTATGCATGATGACTCACAGCTGCTCTTTGACATTTTATTTGATGGGTTTCTCCTCCTGGGATACTACACTAAATACTCTGTTAAATACTGTGCTGCTAAGAACACGGCTAGAGGGGCTCGGTGACCCCCAGGCCACAGAAATATGGGAGAATAACAAAGACTGGCAAGACACCTCAGCTGCTGTGGCTCTTAGAGTTAGGGTGCTTTTCCAGAAACCCCTGAAACATACAATATTGTTGAGGACTTTGGTTGTCCTGAGCTGTGGGATCTGCTCAAGCAGAGGGGATGAAAAGCCCACCTATGATGAGGCTGTGCTTAAAAACCAAAAATCCCACTATAATCCTGTTGTCATAAACAACTGTAGGCCTGACAGCTCCTTCTTTCTAATCTTGTCCCTTCTGGTCATCAACATCTTGATCGTCAACATCTTCAACCAGCCACCTCCAGCTCTCGCTCCTGTCGTTTTGTCAGTGCCACTGTCCCCGAACCACATGCCACAGCGGGTCTCACTACCACGTTGTAAACCTTCTTTTTCACTCTTGCTGCCATCCCTTTGTCACAAATCACTGCTGACACTCGTCTCCACCCACTCCACCCTGCCTGCTCTCTCTTTTTCATCCCACTTTTGCAGTGTCCATTCCTTTGGCTGGTTGACTCCAAGTATTTAAACTCACTGAGTGAAGTAACAAACTTACTGCCCCCAAAAGACCAATTCGGAGCCAGAATAAATCTCCAGCTGATGGTGTGTTGAACCATAATAAATCAACGAAACACATTAAAAGAAAAAACTGCACAGAAATGTCAACATGAACATTAACCCGGATCATGTGGTTAATGAAACATGTTCAGTTAAATGTCAGGAGTGGGCTTTGTGGATGACTTCATTTTAATATCAGTACCATCAAGTTGTTATTATTTAAAATGACATTTTCTAAATCAGAAGCTAGCCCTGGCAAGGGCATGGCTTAGTGATTCAGAGTTGAGGGCCTCTTACCTTCTCTTTAGCCCGGAGTTCATCAAACATGTCCTGGATCTCCAGTTTCCAGTCCTCCTGCAAGGAGTGGAACGAATCCTGCGGCATCTCTTCCTTCACCTGCTGCTCCAAGGCCATCAGCTGGGCCAGGATGGAACTGAAATTGGGTCTGCGATGGGGGTCCTGGTCCCAGCACTCTGTCACACATACAGGGGATACAGTGAGTCACAGGGATGCAGTTTGTGCTACACCAAAGTGACGTGCATATGTAGCTGTCCAGAAGTAATGGACCAATCAGAAATACAGAGTGATTAGAAACGTTACAGTTGGGGGAAAAGATCAGAGGTTACTTTAACTGACAATAAGACGACAAATTTACTCATTTCTAGGACAGCTTCACATATTTTGAGCATTTTCTTAAAATCAAGGGACCTGAAAGTCCCTCATTCATTAATTTTAATCCTCAGACAAAATGAAAAAAAAAAAAGAAGAAGAAGAATTTCATCATCCAACTGAATGCCGTCACCTGAGATTTAAAGACTTAAAATTAGGTCAGATAACTACATGAGGCGTGTGTCTTTGCACTTATTACATGTAATATTGAACAAGTAACCTGCAAAGCCTCTAACTTTTATTTACACATGTTTCAGGCACTTTGTGTGAGCACAATTTAGAGTCAAGCTGATCACTTATTCAAAGTGTCATGCTTAATTAACTTGCTGCGGGGAGTTTTGCATAATTTGCTTCTAAACTTTAGGCATTACAAGAAGATCAAAAACCAATCCGATAATTAATTAATCCTCTGAGGTGGCTACTGGTTGTTTTGTGCACTGATCCTGACTTAGGAAAAAACAAAAAAAACGACAAAATTACATCAAGGGAAAGGGAATCCAAGTGTCTACTTTTCTGGACCAGCTGGTAGCTTGACAGCAAGCACCCAGGTGGCATTTCTTCTTACTTTAAACCCAAAAAACAGAAGATAAATGGGCACAAATGTATTGCATAAGATGGCTTCTGCATAAAACGCTTCCTCTCAATGGCCACGTTATTGACAACATGCAGGGATTTGGGGAAATGGAAAAGAACGCGTGCTTGGGACAGCAACCTGATGTCACGCTAAAGTCCTGTCACACCACTGAATCGAACGCCAAAATTTCGTTACATTTCTGCAGGAGTGTACCACCTGACATGAGCTGCGCAAAAGGTTCGGGGCACGTGGAAGGGATGGGCAGGGTGAGCTTGTTGACGGCGACTCCATAGGCGACAGCGAGTCCATCGATCCCTCTGTAGGGTGCCTCTCCTGTTAGCAGCTCCCACAGCAGAACACCATAGCTGGAGGGGAAACAAGCCAGACAACGAGGCATGACACAGTGAGCTCGAGCCAAAATTAGACACAGGATGTTGGAACACTTCATTATGTTTACGCTGCATATACCACTTATATTTACATTTCTATGTGATATCAACCAAATTACCGTCGCATTTAAACAGCAAACAAAACCTCTAGGCTTGTGTGTTAGAAAGAAAATGATTCTTTTGCCCCCAAGCTGCCATGTGAGGATGTTTTTCTATCTGGAAGCTGTTAGTGCAAACTACATTTCATTTATTTAACAGTGATAGCGAACAACGATCAAAACAAGAAGAAGATTAAAAAACTCACAGCTAGGGTGTAAATGGAGTGGTATTTATGTGCAACCCCAACTCCAAAACAGTTGACATGGTGTGTAAACTATAAATATAATACAGAATGGAGTGATTTGCAAATCTCATAAACCCAGAAAAGAGAAAATACACTAATTTAAGAAGAAAACAGTTTTTAGGATTTTATTTTGAATTTGAGTTGGGACAGAGCCATGTTTCCCACTGTGCCACATATCCTCTTCTTTTAACAACAGTCTGTAAATGCCTGGGAACTGACGAAACCAACTGCTGGACTTTTGGGGGAGGAATGTTGTAATCGTACTCGCAGTGATGACATGAGGAGACCAAACAACTAATGTCGCTGTGAGTTTGGAGTCTATTCATGAGGTAAAAGGCAGACTGACAACCTGTTCAGGGGTAACACATTCCTGCCTACGGCCAATTTAGAACCAGCAGTTTATCAAACATGCATCTATGGACTTCAGAAAGGAGCAAGCAGAGATAACCAGAGAACCCACACAGCAAGCGGGGAACTTTTCACTGCTCTTCCGATGAGTAAATGAGCTGTTCTACAAGTTGAGCTAGACTTACACAAAGTGGGATATGAACATTCAGCATTAAAGACATTTTAATCTCGTGTACCCAGACAAGCTACTCCCTGCTGCAGCCTGGAGTAGACAGGAAGAGGGAGGAGCATGTAAACGGTGTTGTGGATAAAGTGGTATAATTGAGCTATTTCGACCAGCGGTGGATAAAATCAACACACCTTCTGAGAAGACAAAATTATTTAAAGAATAATTGATTAAAATATGTTTCAGTTTCAAGAATTCAATACCAATTCAGTATACAATGACTTGCAAATCAGTGCATTCGGTTTTTTAATTCAAGTTTCAGGAAAGAAGGTAAGAAGAAGGTAAGATGATAACTTTTAAATCCGGGTCATCTTTCATTCCAATTCATGCTTTGTACAGCAAAGATTATCTTTTATACCTTCTCTATGACAGCGGTGACAGAGAACCAAGAGGTCTTTGTGCAGTGGAATATTTCTGCTTGATGAAACACGTGCTTACATAGCACTGTGAACTCATGCATGCAAAACTTGCGCAAACACAAGTACACAAAGACACACACACACACACACACACAGGACTTTTGAGCCCACACAATGGGATCAGCCCTGTGTCCTAAGAAGATGAAGTGTGGCGTAGGACTTGGATCTCCCACACTGTCAATTAGCCCTCGCCCGGACCTGACTGAACACACACTGCAGGCTCACTAAGTGGAGAGCGCAGGCCGCAGCCTTTTTTTATTTAGTTCTTTAATTACAACTTCCACACACTGTGACTATGCAGAAACGCCGCTCGCCGGCTCGCCCCGAAGCGGTCGTCGTCTGCGCATGGTGGCTTTGGAGACGAGCAGCCGTGGACAGATGAGAAAGAATACAAAAACAAAGATTAGCCTTCATTTCTTCAGAGCGGGGCTGCCTGCCTGTTTGCTCGTTTCACCGGTTTCCAGATTCTGCAGTGAAATTTCACTTTGTGTGGGTTTGCAGTTGATGGACAAAGGCTATGGAAACTGCCTGCCTGCTGAGCTGGTTTCATATAGGATCTGTATGTAGAAGTTCACATCTATAGGATTACAATTAAACCACAGCACATTAGAGTTATCATGCTTTTTCCTTTATAGTTTTATCTGTTGCTCAGTGAAAACATCCCTGCTGCCTTATTCCAAATGCAAATTCATGTACTGTGCACTTCAATCACAAATCCCCTCTCAACAAATCACACAGTTGTTTAAGGCATTATTATAAAACCACAAGCCATAATCAAGGGACTCTGTGTAGATGTGGCCAGACACACACACACACACACACACACACACACACACAAAGCTATTCCCAGATAAAGGGCTGCGGTTAGGTCGGGTGTGTGGCCTCCTTCTCCGTCTATACTGGAGACAATGGGACAGTGTGCAGCACACATGTCCCACAACAAAGCACAGAGCAGCTTTTTGAAGAGACGCCATCACATGGTCGTGGCAGCCTTGCTGCAATCCATCACTCTGTCCCTCCATCTCTTCATCACAGAGTCTCCCACTATCACTTCTCTGTTCTTTCACCCTCTAATTCTAACCCATCACTTTGTCCTTTGGACGACAAGTCTACATACACACAAAGCTTCAAAAGACCAATTTCAAATTCTTCAACAATACCAACAGAAAACACGGACATATATGAGCTCCTTCAGTAAAGTCACCTTGCCGATGATTAAACTGCTAACAATTTTAAGGATTTTGAGATATCTCAAGTCTCCTGATACCTCCCTTTCCTTTTACCAGTAAATGTCTTGCTGAAGCTTGCTTGAAGATTCATTAGCTAAGCTTGGCATGAAGGCTGTAAAAGCGGAAACGGCTAGCCTGGAACAATGCCAATTAATTAACAATAAGCTTTAGCCATGGTGGTGGGTGGATGTTATAAACTTTCCACAAAGCAAGGCTGGGCGCTTCCCTATCCTGTTCTCCTTTATTGCTAAGGTAGGCTAATAGCCTTCAGACCTTCCTTTATATATACATATATATGAGTGAGAGTGGTTTCCCCTAGACTGGGTGCTTTGGGAGGATGGGTGTTACTCTTCACCTTTAGTTTTAGACAAAACAACACTTGTCAAGAAGCTTTTCTTGCACTTTAAGTTGGCCAACAAGTTGTGGGAGTCATCAACTCCAGTAACACCATCCTCTCCTCAGCTACTCCCTTCCCTGATGTGCTCCTCCCTGCCCTCTCACTGTTTCGCGCAGGGAAACTAGAGAAACAAGCCTGACAATGACTGATTGCAAAATGCAGAAGACACTGTATGGAAAAAGGTGAACTTTTTGTAGTAAATAAATCACTTTTTTGGTTTTGTGTGAGTAGGCTGGATGGCGAAGGCAATGGCGGCAGACAATCTTTTGTTAATTTAATGTCTGCAGGAAAGGAAAGAATCATATTTGCTCAAATGTAAAACTATTCTTGTAAGGTGTTGAGAATTACATCATCTCTTTTCCCAGGCCACAACAGTCTTTTAATAACAAACCGTTTATAAGGACACACATTCACAGACTTACCTCCAGACATCACTGCCTTTGGAGAACGTGGAGGACTTGATGACTTCCGGGGCCATCCAGGCATAGGTGCCAGCGGTGCTCATCTTTGTGGTCTTGTGCCATTCTCTTGCCAGGCCAAAGTCTGTAATCTTCAACGTCAACCCCTCCATACATTCATTTTCTATGGGCTCAGCCAGAAGAACTTCAGGAAGACGATGTAGATGGTAGGTAGAAACGAAAGGGTGGGGAGACAAATTAATAAAAATGTTTACTATGCAAGTCAAGAAATGTGTTTTGGTTAAAAGTCATTGAAATGCATCGCTGCAGAGATGCACTTGTCTTGCTAGTAGCAGGGAAAAAATAAATAAACGTCACACTAAACTGAGCAATGTCTTCAATACGCACATTCACACATTGTCAGTTTCTTTTTCACTTCCTCTTCCTCTTATTTTAGGCCTCTAAAATTCAAGTCGACAAACATAATTTGCTTCAATTTGACCAATCGATGGAACTACATAAACCTCTGCCTAGTTAGACTGGCAGTGGTAGGTGATTGGCAGCGTATAGATACGCTATATAGTACGTTAGCACGTCAAGCTGACCTGTGCACGATTGGGAGCTGGGCCAGACTCTGTCTCCACCCTCAGCTGAACTGAGCTGTGCTGTCAGTGAACTGGCTCGACATGTTGGCCACATGAGGAAATATATAGAGGAAGCACCATTTCTAAAACAAATGTGTTCGGTGACTCCAATAAAGAAGTATTTCTTTTAGGAGCTATTATGATACCCAAATTAAAAGTCTTCCAGCCTTTCTGTTTTTAATCATCCCCCCCATTAAATATTTTATCCTCAAACTAGCCTGTTAGCAAAATCACCACCGCATTTCTTAAGCTAGCTCAATAACTATTCTCAAATTTAGCCAGCTAGCTCCTGTTAGCTAAAGGAGCAGCAATTATATACTATATAGACTGTTTTAATAACAGTTAATGATATACACTTTAAACAATATCAAACCTCTTTAACTGTTAAACCTCGGCAACTACTAAATGGGTTATCACACAGCCAAATACATTAAAAATACAAAATTGTTCTGTATAACCAGCTAACGTTAGCTACAGCCACTTCACTTTGATACTTAACTAATAAAAATGTTACCTATAGAAATAATTATTGGCTTATTTTATATTTACTGCATTTTATGCAGCTTCTTATTGCCAAATTCAGAATGACTTACATTTTCTGAAATCACTCACTACTCACTGTATAGAGGGCCTGGATGCATGGTTAATATTGCGATACCCTGTTAGAATCACTTATCCCACAGAGACTTCTGAAAATAATAATTTATAAATGAGCAAGGCCTTAATAGTTGCAGTAAAATGTATTTTCAATTCAATTCAAACACCCATTTATTTTATGCTGGTGCAGTTTTAAAAGGTGCAGAAAGAAATAATAAAAAATATCTCCTTCAGCCTATTAGATGAAGGGCGGCATTTAAAAATGCCATCGCAAGATATTTATTTGCATAAACTCAACAACTCAAACTCAAAAAAAGAAACGTCTTTCATCTTGCTGCCCTTACACACAGAAGAGCATTACAAGAGCTCACAGTGTGCAGCCATCTCAACTGCACAAACAAAAACATATTACTGCAATATTGCAAGTAAAGCTTATTCCTGTATTCTATTTTCATTAGTGACACTCATTTTTCCAGCATCTTATCTGGCGCCTGCAGACCGCCATCTGACTGCTGAGCTACAAGTATGTTCAAAGCAAGCAGAACCCACAGCTATAAGTCTAAACAGCTCTTTAAAAGATGTAATCTTGTGTTTTTCCTTACTGGCTACATATAGCATTACACTGTTCATATTAAAGAGAGCCAAAGTAGATTATTAAACGTTTTAGAATTTAAATAATACTCAGACGTAGGACCTGTTCCGATATTTCGTGCTTTAAAAATATGATCTTTTTTCCCCCCATTTCAGACACACAAAAAATAAACAGATTTCCCTGACATTTATCGTGTGTAGTTATTTATTTACTCATTTATGCTGTGCCCAACTCTGGTCAGATGATTGCTGTTTCCAAACACGAGTGCAACCAACAGGGAAGTGGCAACGTGCCCTCTGTTAGGAAAACTGAGCAACATTAATGCTCATAATTTAAGCGGTTTACTTTTTTAATTTTTGCTTTTCAACTGTTGCAAATGCTGATACTGATAGTTCGGAAAAAGCTAATAGCAGCCGATAATACCAGACTGTCAGTAATGTCGGCGCGCTGATAAATTTCTCGGCTCTATTAAAAAATATCTTATCTTTGATTTGGTCAGTTGTAATTTGATACAACAGAGGAAGCTTCCAGTGGGTTCCTGTTTTTGTCCTCTCAAGTAAATAAGGTAATACACTTTCCTGTCAATCCAACATTGATTTATTTAATATAAGGCGGCACTACTGTTCCTTATTGCATTTATCATAGTTCTGTTCATATAGCCTGTTTATATTGCGTCTACATACATATCGGCTGACATATCAAAATATCGGAGCATTGGTGTTAAAGGTTCTGGGCGATGTGGGGAATTTCTGTACATGGGTTTTAGGTGTTTTCATAATGATGCTAAGGTGTAAGGTTAAAATATAAAATACTTAATTATTATTAGAAAATGGTAAAATGTATATGCTTATTTATTAAAGTGTGTGTTGTATATAGATGGTGGAATTGAGGTAAACTCACCTGTGAGTAAATAATGGTTTAGTCCTATAATAGCTGAGAGTATTTAAGGCTGCCATTTGTCATTAGACACCGATTTGTGCTGCTGCTTGAAGGCTTGACCTGGCATTCATTATCCACTGAGTTATATTATATGTGGACAAATAAACACCTCTTGTTTCCAAAGTACTCTGCCTCAGCCTTCATCTCCAGCCACAAAAGGCCACTTTGTTACAATCGGTATTTGTACAGAACCTAAAAACACCCATTTCACTGGGCTCTAATTTTTAAAGCCTAAAATGTCCAGTGAATTGCTTCAATGACACTTTTGTTTGCTAAATTATCTGAAACTTTGGCTTTCTTTAATATGAACATAATGTAATGGTCTAAAGGTCTTTTAGTTCTCTGTTTCACACAAGTTCCTTTTTTTAACTTTAGATTTATGCACACCTGACAATGTTGGTAAAAAACTGTCCTTATTGTTAATGTGCTTATAATGACTAGTGTATGTGTGCATATATTAGAGCAGGGCGATATGACCATAAATATTTATCACGATATACATTTGAAAAATTTGCGATAACGATAACTGACGATATAATTGACACTAGACAAAATACTTTACAACTCCTCAACTTTATTAGTGCAAGAAAAACCAAAACAAACATAAATGTATTTTCACTTAAACGAGCAGCTGTTTTTTTATGTGCATTAAAGTTATATAAAACTTTAACAGTGCAAATGCAAATTCCTTGCTGACAGTTTAACCAAAAGGCATTTCCAGTGGAAATTGGCCGACATGTCCTCAGCATAACCATGTATAATATCCACAAAACCTAAAAAGGGGTTATGCACACACAACACGGTAATATTATGTTAAAGCACAGTACGTATCACTCCGCGAGGCGCCTGCCTACGGTAGCCGTAATGCTCCGACAATCCATCAAGCGTGCGGCTTCGTAGCTTAGCAAAGTCGTACTAAAACATTTGACAGATTTTCGAGCGTCGTGTACGACATAAAATCGGTTCGAGGTCAGTAAACACAACCAGAATTCATACATGAGGCCCACGGGATTATAAGGGGCACTGTCAATTTTCAGAAAAATCAAAGGATTGATTTTAAGTGTGCCGTATTTTCCAAAAAACACGGTAATAACGACGGCCCGCTAGCATGCGCTACCAAAAATAGTGCTTTGTTGTGCATCTGACAGATGAAAGCCAAACCAGTTCCACACCACTGAAGTTGCAGCATTTTTACAAACCAGTTCTGGTTCATCCGTTTCATTCAACGATCCACTTTCGCTCTTCTCATTCTGCGTGTTTCACCCATATTCTATCGCGATATTTCATTTTCCTATCGTTGCCCAACATTACACCGGTATTACCGTGTAGCCCAGCCCTAGCATATATCTTCAGTATTGCCAGTATGAGGATATTATATTTTCTACATGCATGAATCTGAGGTATATTTACGCTTCAGGCAGGGAAGAAGGTGCTCAATCATAAGAAAGCAAATGTGTGGCAGGTTCTTATAATTGCATTCGAATGCAATTATAACAAGCAGTATAATTGCATGGAGTATAACTAAAATAACATGTAAAACACTCAGTAACGCACAGCTTTTGACCTACACATTACCAGAACTCTGCATACTGGGATTGTGTGAAACTCTAAGCAAAGTCAAAGTATAAAATGCAATAAGTTCTATATTTTGTTAACCAGTCAGTGTCAGGAAATCTTGCAGCACCGAAAGCCTCGCCAGGCAGGTTTCTATGAAAGCAGAATATAAAGCTGAGGATTTCTGTCGCTGCAGTGTGACTCTGTATCACATGTCTCAGTGAGATCGGCAGCCGTGCCTCTCTTCCCCTTTGCTGGCAGAGTGGGCATTGCTTAGGGCAAGGCTGGCTGTCAAACTCAGGGAGGAGAAGCAGCAAAGAATTTCACTTATTATAGGGAAGTAAGACTCCAACTATTTGCAGTCACTTTCCGACTCTCTAGGCTCGGCTCTCTTTCCCTTTTTCCCCCCCCCTCGACTTCACTGAAAAATCTATTTTCTCCTCTCTCTCTTTTCTTTATCCACAAATATATGAATTTTTATCATTTTCCAGATATAAAACCAACTCTCGCCCTCCCTCTCTCCGTCTCTTTTGTTCAGACATCCTGTGCTGTGCCTCGTAGCCCAGAGGCAGCAAGTTTGACGTCACAAAGGAATGCATCACAAGAGGTTGTGTTGTCTGCTCTGTGTGTGAGAACATTGGAGGGAATAGGAGACACGGTTCTTTCATAATGTACTTGCATGACAAATTGTGCTCCCTGGTCATAGAGACACCATCCACAGCCGTGCATATTATTTTGTCCAGTCTGTCTGTAAGATGATGGGTAGGTGCAAAGCAAGACGATAAGTTGAGGCTTTTTCCTTATATTCTTATAGACCGAAAGCTTTTTAAATGGGGGGGGA